TAAAATATGTTCAATTCAAATTCAATTCATTGGAAATTATCGAGCGCAGGTCTGCTCAGACTAGATCTTTTGATATAATGAGTAGAATGATAATATCAATGAAATATGTGAATATGGTACCTGAGCAAGCTTGCGCTCTATTAATACTATAGTCAAAATTGAACAAACTCTGTGCATTTTGGCCTCTATTTTAAAAATAACGGAAATCCAAATAGTTTGTGACGTCACAGAGACAAGAAAAGCCAACTATTTTTTCCAATTTCATAATATATTGTCTTAATTTGGATTATTTTATACAATATATGCACTTTTGCTCATTTCAAGAGATTTTCAAAATTTGACTATTATGGGGGCAGGAATACGCCCTTACCGTATATAGCTCTTTGCAAAGTTTATGTAAATATCATATAGCCTGGCACATCTGTTTCATATTTGGAAGTTTTGATAATGAAGACGTTACTGACAATCTTACAATTAATTCAAAGGGCTATGAACGCCGATTGGAGGTTCGTATTCTTTAAAATAATTGGTAGAATTCTATGACTTTCATGTTGTAAGACGGTTTCTGAACGATATTTTCTTTTTTAGAAAAAATGTTTAGATACTTTTTTTTTCTGAAAATTCTCAAAACATCGAAGCTTGGGCGTCTTAGATTGTCACAAATTGTCGCACTTCCACAGAGTAAATTCTGTCCTATATCTTTAGAAAAAAAATGATAAATCGGCAGTGTGTTGACAAAATACATTGGGACTATACTTAAGAAGTCATAATAGAAATGTAAGAGAGCAAAACCAACACACCATTGTCAGATGTTCATTATCAGTTATGTTTTAAGTGTTAGCAAATCAAACATACCCAGTAAAATGTAAAGAAAAACAATAACAGATTTTTGTAAGTGTATAATAATAAAGTCTTTGTCATGGAATATTAAGAATTTGCATGTAAGCACTATTCATTAAACTAAAGTTCTTTTTGAAATAAACAGGGAAAATAAAATTAATAAACGAACTAGCAATTTAGCTTTAAACTTTTTACTGCAGCAATCTATTCAAATATCTTCTTCGAAAGGGAACTGGGTTGTAATTAGTCAAATTAAAATTTAAATCTTGCAATTTCTTCAAGCTAGCATTCAAAAGTGTAGAATTTTTACTACCAAGAAACTAATTTGGGACACAATAGGTACATGTATAAAAGTTTGCGTGTATAGGAAGAGTCCTTAATTCTCCTTTTTTTCAAGGTATGACAGGACCACAAATCTTATAAAATATTACTGTACAATCAGACAAGAAGTAAAGATTGAAAAAAATGTGTATATGGTACGCCTTGTTGGATAAATAATTCGTCAAAAAAATTATATCGGACAGATATGTAGTGGGAAACATCATCTGAACAATACTAAGTGGTTAGGCAAAAATTTATTAAACTCCACATAGTTTTACATATGGTAAATTTACGAAATTTACGAATGCTGTAAATTGAATACAAACATGACCTTATAATATATAATCATGTTTTTTTTTCTTTTCAAACACACTTAACACGGTAAGAGTGGTACTTGTACCGCAAAATGAATGTAATGTATTTGTTGGGAAAAAATCCGTTTAAGGAACAAAATGTCATTTGATCTTCGAACTATTTTCAATAATCCTTATATGGTTAAAGAACACTTGCCCAATTCAAAGCAAATTGTGTCAGAGTGCTAAATAAGCCCTTTTTATGTAACTTACCTCTGAATCTGTTGAAACCATGAAAAATGGTTTTTACGACTAGACTGGTGGATTTATTTATTTTTATTTCTCTTCGTCAACGATACAATGCAGGTGTTTGTTATGGTCATATGTGCTCATATTTGAATTATTTTTTGAAGGTTCTCAAATTCCAATTTATTCTGCAAAATTCAACACTTTTTTAATTTCACACAACCTGTTTTCCAGTATCTGGACTCTTTAGAGGAAACTTTGGTATACAAACTGAAAGCACTAAGTCTCTACTTTATAATGATGTTGAGAATGGGACAGAAAGTGTTCGGGAATAAATTGGTCTATCTACAGGGCCATTTTATGCATAAGGTGAACCTAGCTCTTTCATAGTCATTATCCGTGAAAATTTGAAAAAAATAATTTTTGAAATTGTTGATAAATAAATATCTAAATGTTTGATTGGTGATACAATTGTATGTATTTTCATTTTTTTTTTCTTTTTCTAAGGTCAAATTAAAAATTGGACAGATGCAGCAACATCCTTACACCACCGTAACAGCCGAGGAGTTAAATATTAATCAAAGAAATGAAATTGAAAGAAATAATAATAAATAGTTTATAATCTAGAATGAAAGTGCAAATGCATAAGCATAATTTCATTAACCTTCAACCCTACCTCTATTAGATCTATAGCTAGTAAATGACTCGTATTCGAATTTAACAAAACAGGACCTGGTATTGTTTTCACTAAACACGAATTTATTCTTCTCAAACTTCAAATACATTTTAAAAAATTTATTTGCATAAGTGTATTGCCAATATTAATCTGTCTGCTCGGGTATATTTATTTATTATATAGCTAATAAATATTCTATGATAAAAAAAAAAAACTACTTAAAGTCTAGAGAATTTTAGCGTTCCTTATCTTGGCATTTTATTTAAAGCTGAGTTTGCATTACTTATACGATTATGTCCCAAAACATTCCGAATACGAGCGTTCAATATCAAACGCCCCACTGTAAACAAAAAAAAAATGTCTTCTTGTAAACCTCCCGACTGCAATATTTATGAAGTGTAGTGGCTATAGGTAAGATGTGTCTATTTTCACACAAAAAATGAAATTTATTATTAATAATTTAGTACCAATTGGTAGGGTCATTGGAATGATATGATATTTAACATTTACAAGAAAGACGCTGATATAGCATTTTCATTTTAATTTGAATACCGATACTGAAAAATTCACAATAATTTTGAGTGATTTAATCGCAATGATTGAAATAAATCAATGGGAAATGTTTTAACTATATAATAAAGGATTTATTGAACTTATATTGGTGAATATTGACACTCGTAAAGCTCGTGCATTTGTGCAGCCAAACCGTGCCAATCTTCACCAATACAAGTTCAATAACCCATTAATATTTGTTTTCCTTTACTTAATAGGATAACTTGACAAACGTTTCACAAATTACTTGGTAGAAAGTGCAGAGAAACTCTCTAATTTAAAACAAACAAACTAAAGCAAAATTTGGGTAAACTACTTAAAGATCCCAAACTGTTGTTTATACTTCCATTTTAGATTGTTTTTATAATCATACTGTTTGTTCATAATTAAAGGAAGCATCGATTAGTCGACAGCATATGAAAAAGCAGATAATAATATTTCTTAAAATAAAACCAGAACTATAACGTTTTTAATTTCTAGTTTTGATACGTTGTCCAATATAACTATTCCTTAAACACTCATGATATGTTTTAATTAGCTAAAATTAAATTGAAAAGGGATAAATCCTTGAACATATCCTCAAATCATAACATTTTGCAGTTATGAAGTGTTAGCTAAAAGGCACACAATCATTGTTGAGGAAGGACGGAAGTGTACTGTAGCTATATTTGACTTTTCAGCCATTGCTCTTCTTTGACATCAGATGAATGAAGATTTAGGTATAGTTGTATAGATAGGTTGCCCAATATGTAACCATTAATAGTTTTTTTTTTCCACGCATGCTTCTAATGGAACAAGAAACTATGTCAGGATTTTGGAACAGATCAATTATCTGATTTTAATCAGATTATACCTTGGCATACAACTATAAAATCAAAGATATTCACATATGAAATTGCACAGAAAAACGGATATAAAAATATGTTCAATTTTTTTTTTCACTGAAAAAGGAAAAAAAAAAATAGAAGAAAATGTTAAATCATGAAAGATAGGTATTCCTTGTCAATCAAAGCATTTTTATGAAAATGGTATGAAAATAATGTTACTATTTCTTGCAACTTAAAAAAGAGTTACATTTACTGTGCTCATTTGCCTTCTTTTCAAAAGGAAGCTTGATGTCGTTTTTAGTACTGCAGTGCTAGACAAAATATACTCGGCAGATAAAACTAGTCAGCAAAACTGTAAATTATGGGAAAGTGATATCATAAATTGATATATTATAGGAGTTTTTCAGATATGAACATCCTTTGCAATTTAATTCTGTGCCATAAAAAAACATACAGATGTAAGTTTGAAAGTGTATCCCCCATTGAAAAATACATCTATTAGTATAATTGAAATATTTTAAAAATTGATTTTTGTTTTTTACAAAACACATAACTGATGAAACAATAATGTGGTATACATTAATTTTTTATTCAATCAAAAAAGCTAGAAAGGATATTTGTACATTGAATATAATCCATTAATAAATGTACCACGTTTTGTTAATGTGCATTTTCCGCTGAAAACAAGTTGCAGACTTTCCTGAAATAGTGGATGTCAACGAGTATATTTGAATAGAATTAGGGCAGGGCATTTCGGCACAAAACACCTGCTGGCGATCCAATTTTTTTAAAGTAAGTTTTGCGTATTATTTGTTTTTGTGTTTGTTTGTAGTTTCAGTTGCACAACAAACGGTCTTTTAAAACGGCACTTTAAAAGATTTGTTGCCAATCGTTCCCGCTTCTTCAATATTTATATCAATAAAAGTGAATTGCCTGTTCCATTTGTCGTGAATTTTTAAGGGAAGGGATATGTATCAAGGAAGGAAATATTCGCTTTAAATATTCTGTATAATTGACAATACTAGAGAGACAATAAAAGTAACGGCTAATGTGAGATGGATTTTTACGTTAAGTTTACATTTTTGCTAATGCATACATTCCATGTGGTTTCCAAAAGAGGACCTTGTCATAACAGGTATACAGATAAATAAGACTCTTTTTCATTGCAGAGTATATATCTAAAGATTTTGTATGGTTTAACCCCGCCTACAAAATGGAGAGATTTTTTTCTATTTATTTCAGAGAACATGGCTGTTGTTCAGAGACTATATGGAACGAAACACTACAAAAATGTACAGGTAAAAGGTTTTAATTTGATATGGGAATCATTGTTTACCCTTGAGGGGTTATTATCGCAATAACGTGCGAAATGGAATAACCGGAGATATTTTTTGATAAAAATACATTATTAACATAATGGATGGGCGATTCTTTTTGTTATTATACTAATCTCGGACAAATGTAATTTGAAAATGTTAACAGAACGATCAGTCGACACCTCAAATTCACGTGTTACAAACTGTAGATCACCGAACGGCATAATATGATTAGTTGAGAGATAAGAAAATCAATCAAGATTTGTTATGTTCCCAAAAGACGTCTCTGCAGTCTGCTCGTAGAATATTGAATGGAGTGAGTCATGGGTCCAACAGCAACATGTTGACTAATAATCATTAATAATGATGATGATAATAACATTACAATTAATTAATTTTATTTATTAAGCAATTTTTACAACAACTCTTAAACAGACATAACTTAACTTATGTTAGTTTAAGAGTTGCTATATATATATATATATATATATATATATATATATATATATATATATATATATATATATATATATATATATATATATATATATATACATATAGTGCATGTACATGTAATATATATATATATATATATATATATATATATATATATATATATATATATATATATATATATATATATATATATATATATATATATATATATATATATATATATATATATATATATATATATATACATATAGTGCATGTACATGTAATAAATACAGGGTTTTTTGCATACGCAATATGCCTGACGTCAATAGCCTCATCGGTTTCCAGGACTGATACAAATCCTGCAGGGCTGATTTGGATCTGCAGGGCTGATACAGATTTATATAACACCCCTAGTAGATTAAACCTTAAAAAAAGTACTTGTGATAATACTCAACTTAACAAACGTAGAATGGAAATGAGACGCAATATTTGGACAAAACCAACACATATTTCTTTGAAATCAGTATTATTATTTCAATTTTGATTTTCAATGATTCCTATACTACGATAGCTGCCCTTAGTGAAGAAATATTGATACAGTTCAACCCTGGTTGATTAAGGTCTTCCGCTCCAGCGGGAGACCTTCTACTGATTCTGATGGTTAAGATTATTAAGGTCTTGCGTCTTCAGCGGAAGACCTTCTTGTTATTCTTAGGTTTCTTTTCCACTGTTTTTAAGGTCTTCCGTCTTCAGCGGAAGACCTTTTTGTTATTCTTCGATTTCTTTTCCACTGTTTTTCTTATTATTTTTTTTCTTACCTATTTTGTGCACCCAATTTCTCGAAAACGGTTTGCTCGATTTTTATGAAACTTTCAGGTCTGATAGAACATTAAAAAATCTTGATACATATTTTTTTTTATTTTGATGACGTCACTTCCGAAGATTTTTGCGATTTAGTGATTTTTGGAGGGTCAGTTTGTCCGCAGGTTTTCTGAAAAACCACTAATCACAGGAACGTGAAACTTTCAGGGGAAGACAGAGCAATATATGTAGATCTTTTATATGTAGTTACAGTACCCGCATCGTTATTCTTTACAGAATACACGATACGATAGGATACACGCACGCTACGATAGGATACACGCACGATAGGACAGGATACACGCACGATAGGACAGGATACACGCACGGTAGGATAAACGCAAAACACGATAAACGCAAAACACGATAAACGCAAAACACGATAAACGCAAAACACGATAGACCTGATAAACGATCTTCACGATAGGATAAACGCAAAACCTGATAGGATCGTTTCAAAATGCGAAACGTTTTTTGACAAGACGAAAAGTTTCCTTTTTAGTAGTATAATAATTTTAATTACTAACAAAGCCGCATATCTAAATGATAAAATATATTAATTTTATCGTGATAAAACATCTGAAGTAATGATGCTTTGTAAAAGATACATTTTTTCCGTCAATAAAACTGATCGTCATCAAATTCAAACTGTAATTATTTAAGATTAATTCCAATCTATGATGGAAATTAGGCGATTGTTTGTGTAATTATACAAATGTCGAAATTCCATCGAATCGTTAAATTTGAATTTTGAATCGTTTTATTACGGAGATTTTAATTTATAGGTGGCTCAAAAATTCGGTAGACAAGCAAAGTTTTACACCCATGTCAATAGATTCACGAAACGCTATAAATATATTCATTATTTTAACAAATAAAACCTTATGAAATTCATAACAAACATTGATTATTTTTACGGAAGAACTCCATGTAAAAAGTGAAATATTTAGATTCAATATCTTGTGCTAGAAGTTTGTGATGTATCCAAAATCGCCTTTAATAATCTGTATTTAATAATTCAAATCTTACAAAAAAAAATTGTCATAATTTTAAGGGGGGGGGGGGGATTCGGGAAAAAAATCATTTTTATTATTTAATGTTAATGCTTTCTCCTCAACGTTTTTACGAACTTGCTTAAATTTATATTTTATATAAATTACTTTTATTTTTATTACGTTTTGAACACATGACTTGCTGAAATTGCTAGTTGCATTGACACAGACTGAGCACTGGACTGTGATTAAATAATCTCTCCTATATATAAATATATATGTTACACATATCCCGTGCACATAGAAAGTATTTACGTATTCCTACCTACATTGTATAAAATTATGTATATATGTGGAAGGAGGCCGGCCGAAAGAAATCGAATTCAATAAAATTAATAAAGATCTGTCATCATCTAGTATCCGAAAAAAATACCGCATTTCCATTCTTTTGTATTTATTCTCTGGTATTTCTAATGCTATAGGCATGTAAGATTAAGAAGGGAGCATGCAGTCGTATACCTAAAAAAGTTACAGTGTACCAACATGTGTAGTATACAGTAGAAATATAATGATAATATTGCCCATCAACAATAATAATGTCTTCAGCCTCTTTTGTTTGCTTTCCAAAGCATTTCTTTTTAGACCCCCTCCCCCAAAGAAATGAAATTGCTTTCTACGCATGCCTGTGTTATAAACATTTACAATAACAGAATTTGTATCTACTATAGACGCGTGTATGCTAAGCTTACAATTATGTGAATATATTTATTGGGTACTTAAACTTTGTATTAAATAATAAAATTGAATTATTACATACTCTTGTATACAACATATTAGAACATACACACACAAAAAAATTTATAAACTAATTTCCACAATACGAAAAGTGGATTTTCGGACTGAAGAATTGTAAATTATTGCTATTAGACTTTGTATTAATTGTTACAAAATTTATTTTATATAGAACTACATCGGCAAAATTAGACAAAACTTTGTAATAAATTATGAAAGTCTTAATCCCACTTGAGGCATAGTCAGCGGGGAAGAAGGGGGGTGTTCCATAACCACTCAAAAAAAGATCCAATTCAAAGAGCAAAATAAATAAATAAGTAAATTAATAAATAAATAAGAATATATTGACTTCTTGAACATAGTCAAGTATTAAATGCAACCGATAAACATTAATATTAAATTCAAGGTATTTACTAGCCTTGTGTATCACGGCAGATCTGGGTGATTTCTTTTAATTTTTTACATGTATCTTTGAGGCGCCTTTTTAATAAGAAAAAAAATTTTTCTGCTAAGAATTATTTACCATATTCTTCGATTAATAGAATGTTTCTTTTTTATTTTACATAGAAAACCCGAAGATCCGGAAGTACCACAAGCGCATTTTTTTTAAATTTGATCACACCAATAATGTTTAATACTGTAAACCTATAAAAATTATATAAAAGTATACGAATGAACTAAATCAACGGAGTTTGGGGGACAAAACTCGCCTATATTTTATTTGATTCTTTTATTAAATTTTTAATCTGTAACGGAAGTGTACATTTACCAATTTTCTTAGTATAAAATCTTTAATTATTAATTAAGTGTTGTTCAAACGATATCCAGAAAATAAGAAGATGCATTTCATTGAAACCTAGTAGGATTCAAGGTAAATACCTGACACCAGGTGAGAGAGGAGTTCAGGTATGTCTACGTTGAATACACAAGGGCCGGTCATGTAGGGTGAGAGAGAGGGGGGGGGGGATTCTTGACCTGACAAGAAGACAGTGTACTGATTAGGCAGGTACGTTTAGGTGTCAGTTCTCTTGTCGCGGAGGCGCTTCCACCTGTCACTTAATTACGGTATATACATGTATACTCACTTCATTTTCACATCGAAATAGGTAAGTTGTATAATAAAAATTAGTATGGTTTTGTTTAATTTTATTTATTTATTTTTTTGTTTTTACATCTTCTAAATGCAGTAGTCAAATATGAATGGCAAACATCTATATTAAAATATATAATTATCATATGATGAATTGAATGGAGCATGTTCATGTAAAATAAACTGTAATTTAACTTGTTGACACATCAGAGAAACAAATAAATAAAAAGGAACAACAAAACTTGCGCGCATAGACAAAATTTATGTTTCCGTTATTGATAGAAAGGATTCATTCGGCAAACCTCGGCTGCTTCCGTCACCTTCATCAAACCTCGGCTGTACGAGGAAACTTGATATGCGTCTCCGCTTAACATTTGTGATCAGACTGCCTGTTTACCGCTTAGGGAAAACGTAACGCTTTGAAAACGATAATAAACATGCATTTGATATATGATAAAAATTTTCAAAAGCATTTAGGTAACACTAAGAATAACACTTACCAAGAAAAATGCACTTAGTATCTTAACATAATCACATGTTTGTTAACGGATCGAATTCAGCACACTGTGCACGTGTATATGTAGGGCGCAGCCATATTGAATATAAAGTAGCTCCGGTTCAATGGAGGTTTACATGATACAGCCGAGGTTTGATGAGGTACGAATCGGCCGAGGTGTGCCGAGTGAGAAAGGATTGACTTACATGTAATAATGATGCTGATATTTTTTTTATTTATAGTTTATTTTTACACACATATCTACTGCTTTATGTTTCTATAATTATTAAAGCAAAGTTAATAAATGTCTTGC